CCTACAGGCGAGATGTTCGGATTCCCAGGCAAGCATCCCGCATTCAGTTTGTTGACTGTTGGCGATTTTGGGCATTATTTCGGCCCGTACTAGGATGGTTGTTCTCACAAGTCCTTGTAGTTCTGCCTAATTTCCCGCAAGCGTAGCAAAATATTATCTTACGCTCTGTGCAGTCCCTCCAGGTATGACCAGGTTTCTGGCAATTCCAACAGGCCATTTTATTGGGTTCTGTCCGTCTTTGTCCCGTCTGCTGGTTAGAAGACGTATCCTGCTGAGTCCTTCCAGGCAAAGTCGGTCGACTATTCTTCTGCGATTTCTGGATCTCTTGGACAGGAACATCCTCTTCTTCTGTGTACTCACAGCAAGAACCCTCAGCCTCAATATGATGTACATCGTTTCTCATGTTGTTGGGTGACCTATAGAAATTAGGGTCACTTGCATCTATTTTATGATTAATTTCAATCAGATGCTCAAGATCGTATATGTCCATTACTGATAATCTTGATCGGTAGTGGGCACGCATATTTTCCCAAACGAGTTCGAATAATGTTCTCGACGAGAAAGGGCGCTGCAAACATTGGTTGAGTTTCTCAACCTCCGTTACGTACGCAACGAACGTTTCACCTCTCCGTTGTTTTAAGTCACGAATTTGGGCCTTGATTCCTCTGTCACGATTAGGATTTCCATATCGGAAGCGAATTTCATCTTCAAATTTACTCCACCGAGTGAATCTATCCTCCCTAGTAAACCACCAATCATACGCCTCTCCTTTTAGGCGATGATGAATGTTCTTCAACAACTCCTTATCCGATACATCTTCGTGTCGAGCCAACTTCTTGATTTTATACAAAAAATCTTCAAGTTGCATCGATCTGTTGTCTCCAGAGAACGAAAGATTCCAGTTCTCAACTCTGGACTTCCTATAATGATTCCTTCCACTATTCGATGTTACGCTGCTAGCCGATGTTGAACGTCGTCGATGTCTTCGACCGCTACTTCCTTTTCTACGAGTTCTTCTCTCTTTTCTCGTGTAACTATCTTCCGACTCTGCTTCTGATTCACTGTCGTATCGTTTCTGTCTGTGGTTTCTTGAATTCGTCTTTCTGACTTCTTCCTCTGAGTTACTATCATCGTTTGAACTTGGAGTTCTTTCGCGACGCGATCTATGGGTTTCTTTTCCCTTTTCATCACGATTGCTAGTGTGTTTACGATTCCTCGAATTTCTATCAGGCTTCCTCGTATCTTTATCCCTTTTATGTTTGTTATATCCATATTTACGCCCTTTTCTTTCTTTATCGACTCTATTTTTACTTGATTTCCTGTCAAAATCTGAATTTTCCGAATCTTCATCCGAATAATCTTCATTCTGTCTATGTTTTGAAACCTCAGGTTTCTGATCGTGGTCTTTCTTCCTTGCACCTGTACCTTCACACCACGCGCAATTACATGCGATTCCTTTAGCTCCTGATAAGCATGCTGGTTCGGAAACTTTGAATGTTTCCTTTTGATCTCCTTCCTTGGATTCTGTAACCTTTCCTCTCCCTACCTCTTGACTCTCTTCTCCTTCATCTTCCCGTATTTTCAACCCTATCTCTTCTAAAACTCCTTCAATTTGAACACAAACATCTTTTTGTGCCATTTCCTCTTCCTTATTATCAACAGACGCGCTTGCCATGCGAATCAAATAGTGTCGTATTCTTGAGATTTGCACCCGATCTGCTCGTTTTCGCAAATTTGATATTAATCCATTGACAATTTCTGAAACCTTTACGATTTCATCTGAAAATTTATGAGTTCCTGAATAATTAACTTTACTACACCTATCATCCTTAAACAATCTGCGTAACAACCTCTTTTTATCCTCCAACGTTTCTCTTCGATCGACTGATTGCTTCCGTAATCTCAATTCATCGTCTACTTCATCCTCCAGCAAATGCTCAACAGCTGGTAGTATATATTGACCGCTCATTTTAATTGATTAGAATCAATCACCAAATTCCAATAAAAATTCAATTACAAAGTACGAATTCAAACCGAAAAAAATAATGCTTATGCTATTTAGATTTAATATACCGATTTAATAATAGTGGAAAAAGAAAAAAAAAAATTAAGAATAAAATGTAAATTCAAGAATGCAAAATAAGAAAAAAAAAAAAACTTAATCTATTATAAAAGAAAAACGAATTCAATTCCAACTTAACACTAGAAAAATTCAGTTCAAATTAAATACTAGGCGAAAATTCAATTCAAAGATAAAACTAAAATGTAAATTCAAAATATTATATGTAGGAATAAATTAAAATTAGAATGAAAATGCTGTTTTTGTTCAAGTACGAATGAAAGAAATGAAACGTTATAATTTTTTGCGTTGGGCGCCAATGTAACCGTTCGAGAAATTTCGCTGAGGTTTTGTTCAAACTCAGTGGCTTAAGCGCCACTCTCGATTAGGAGAGACCACTGGTCGTGTTGAAACTTTGCCCGACAATTGAGACTTTTCTCTCAGAGGACCTCTTGAACGGTCGTTGGTTACTAACGGTAAAAAACTACTAACTTTCTGGAAATGCCAAGTCCTTCAGTAGTACGGGAATGGAGCGCATGGACCAAATAAATAAACCAAAGATATTACTCTGACTCACCCACGAAACGAAACGGAAAGAGAACGAAGGAATGCTTACTCAACTGAGCGGAAACGAAAGAAAACAGAACGTAACGTAGTAAGTGTGTTTTATTCAGGGAGTAGCATTCAAAACGTTCTAAAACTAATCTTCAACTTTTTCTTTAAACTATATTTTAGCATTCATTCGCATTGGATTTCTGAGAGGGGTGTACGGAAAAGAGCAAATCATGGCCATGAATTAAACATGCTCTGACATACCTGCGCAGGTTTTACTGGACGAAGCGATGAAACGATGACTGCTGACCGATGAGGGCTCGACGACTCGAAGATGGCGGCGATAGACGACCTTCCAGACGGTGTGGCGATGGCGGCGAAAACGTGATGGTGCCGCTCACGTGCTGCAGTATGGCGCGCAGCAACGGAGGGTGACTCGTACGCGGTATGGCCGAATTAGAGTTGCGGAGGGAGTGGCGGCTGGACGGAAGACTTCCGATTTGGAAATCGAGAGCTGAGCTACGACGAGAAGTCGTGCTGTCCCGGGAGATTCGCTCCGCAGAGATAAGAGGCCAACGTACCTTCGGACGGCTTCGCGTACTTTGTTTCCGCTATGACCGCCCGCGATAGAAAGAACCCCCTCTCCCGTTGGTTTGAATCCGGACCGCGGCACGCTTTTGGCGACGCACTCACACGGTCCGAGCTCTCGCAACAATGGTCCACAGGGGTTGTAGTGGAAGGGACCTCGTCGACGGATGATTGGCGACCGTCGGAAGATATTTCGCTTCGAAGGTTAGCGAACTTCACCCACCTCCGTTTAGCTACCTTCGAAAAGGCGGGCCTTAGCAGGGCGTACGAGTCGGAGGAAACGTCCGTCTTCTACGAACGATGATGGCGATGCCACAGATGGAACCCCCGATCCGGCGTTGACGATAGCCGAACGGAACGTAACGTGTTTCCAGCCCGTACAAAAAAAGCGCAACGCGCTAGAAATCCAACGCGAACTCACATTAATTATACAATTCTAAATTTGAACAAAATTGAATAAAATTACCTTTTTTGTACAATTTCACTAATAAACGCACTGAACAGACTACGCGGAACTTAATTCGGACTTATGTCCACTGTACAAAAAGAAAGGAAAACGTTTAAAAAACCACTGGATGATAAAAACTCACTCACTACTATTTAATACCTTTTTAGAAACTTAACGCACAAAATCAATTTGATTAAATTTAACTCGAGAACGTAAAGTAATTCGCGCACTTCTGTTCACCAGCCGATTCGAAAACGAAATGGACGAGTCAGAATAATTTTGCGAGCAGGAAAATTCCTAACGACCTTTTCCTATTCAAATAGGTCATCTTTTAAAAACTCCCTCTTTATTCGAGAGTTGCGCCAAATCTTTCGAATGGCGACGGACTTCATGGCGCCTCCAGAAAGCATGCACAATATAATACAGCTCACTATAAGTTGAGCTTTTATGGCGAAGTTGTAGCCTAGACACAGTAAATATAGCAAAGTTGTAAAATCGACACAGCAATGGTCTGATTTTATTTCCACGGTTGAAATATTTCATTTCTAAGCAAACTTGAAATAAAAAATGATTTAATTGTTAATTAAATTAGATTTAATCGAAAAACTATAAACAAAAAACGTAAAACGTTACAAAGCAACCCTGTATGAAATAATGATGTAATAGCAAAAAGCAGATACAATATTATATCAATGGATGTAATTTTGTTCGCAAAAACGATGTACATCGTACAACCAACAATCAATACGAAACTAACGATTTTAAATTGGCTCACCACTTTAGTAGCCTATTGGTCCCAAGCAAACGATTAACGTACCCTATTCTAGTTGAAATTCTATTACAACACTATGTTTGTTTTGATTCGCTATGAAAGTTTGACAGATAACATCAGGGGTGTGTGGATTCATGCAGAACATGCAGGGGTGAGTGAAATAGCTTGGGACTGCTTGGGACCGTTGTTCTGGTACTGAGTGAGCCAAAAATAATAATGATTTTCTTGGGGACCCAGTGGTCTTAGAGTTACCTCTATGGTACAACGTTATATTACACAACCGATGGATTCCTGGATCGACCTGGTTGCAATTCGGGATATCATCCCAATTTTATGTGGTATGGTCGCACCATCTAAGATATCGTCAGTATATGGTACACGTTTATTAGGGATATTCAACAACTTTTTTTTCTGTGTGTATTATTAGAAAAACAAATCACGGTGTATTATTTTGTATGACCACTACTGTAAGTGTTCACTGAGCTGAACTATAATAAACTCACTCGCTCACGTCAAACCGAATGTTGACAGTCACCTGTCCGAAAGGCAAGTTGGGAGATTTTTGCATTCTTTGTAAAATATTGTTTAAAACAATCACTTTTAATTTAACTATTCAGTGGCGAAGCCTTCAATTTCTCGGAACAACGTCCGATTGGTACAACAGACCGAAGATTAGGTGGTATTCGACGCTAGAAACGAGCAATAGCGATGGTATTCCTTAGGCCAATGTTGAACGCAGCCAAACGCATTCCGCTGATCAAATTCCGTAAGGGAGGACCACATCTGGAAAGCAGCGGTGCTGGACATCCGGCACAAGCAGCTGCTGCAGGAGCCGGTGCAGCACAAACGGTACGTTTGAGATTGCCATAAAATTTGCTTGCATTTCCTATGTTGATTTATCAGCGGTCTTGGTTACGCACCATTCCACCCGAACAAGAGAGATTACATAATTATTTATGAATGATTACCGATTTAGTAACAAACAATTGCCTTATACAAAGTAACGCTCTTGGCTTTTTCAGAGATCGGTTTCATCTGGGCAAGCGATCGAAGAATGGCAACTGCCAGCCAGATATCGTAGGAAGCAAATCGACGATGTCGAGATTGAATGGATTAACCGCGGAGGACCACCGGCGTAAAGTGCTTCCCCTGAACCGCTTGCGGGAGTTGATCCTAGTCACTTAAGCTACTATCACATACAAACCAACAAATAAATCATCTTTGTCATCGTTATTAACACATCTCTCGTACGTCTGTGTAGTTATCGCATTGTAACGTTGACCTTTTCGCAAAAAGAGAGCTGCTGGTCCGTTCAAGTTGAGTCGTATCACACAAATAGACACCAAACAAAAATCTCCTACCAAACCCTAAATACAGTGAGCAAAGAGGAAGGAGGAACCTATCAATATCAACGAAGGTGCTAATTGGACGAAAACGAGAAAATTAAATCGGCAGTTGCCTACACTTCTTCGACCGCTAACAGCCGAACAGTGAATCTATTTGGTTGCCAACTGCGAAAAAGACAAGTGTTGATTGAAATTGATAATTTTTTAAATTGTATTTATTATATATGATTCAAATAAAGCTTACGAAACGAAGATAAGCGTGGTACCATTTACTACCGCCAATCATGCCACCCACCAACTGACACTAATGCTTCAAATTGCTTTAGATTATTGTTGAGCATTATACTGTGGTAGTGTATTGAAATCTGTTCAGCATTTATTTTGCAAACTTTTGGAATATTTAAACAATGGACACTTGAAAATTGACAAACATTATAGAACACGTTCTTCATTTACCTTTCCATAGATTTGAAACAGAGTTATAAATGGATGAGATATTGTTAAAAATCTAACACTAACGTCATACGAGTTTCAGGCATATTTTTCGAGTCGATCCCAAATTTTGGTTACAATCTGGGGGGACGTGCTGTTAGCCTAATAGAGAGTCTTATACACCGAAAATGGTTTTCATGTAGTTTCCAATGGAATCGCAAATGATTTTCATCCATAAACAAAATTAATGGAATTTGTGGAATTCACGGCTTCTTTGCTCATTTATTGGAATATAACCAATGTATTAACTGTACACTCGATTATAGAATAACTTCTTTATTTCGGAACTTTCACACGTTACCCCGTGTGAACATTTTATGCAAACGGGCAATAGTTTCATCAGCAGTTATGTGTTTCATAATCTCGACTTCCTTGTAACGGCTGTAATAGTCTATTACGACTAGGAGATATTCTCCACTGGGTAGCGGTCCAAGAAAGTCTAAAGCAACATCGATCCATGGTCTAACCGGTAACTCTCTACAGTGCATTGGTTCTGGTCTGGCCGGAAGGGAAACCAATCTACAACCGTTGCACGCTGCAACATGTGCGGTTACTGCACGGTCCATGCCAGGCCACCAGACCCGATCTCGAAGCCTCCGCTTCATTATTGTCTCGCCGGGATGACCCTCGTGAGCCAAGGTCAACATTCTGCCTCGTAGTGCTTTAGGAACAATCAGTTTATTTCCTCGCACCACTATATCGCCAACCAATCCAAGCTCGTGACGGTACGTTTCAAATGGTTTAACTCTATCACTGTCCCATTTTCCACGTCTAAGACATTCCCTGACTGTACAAAGCTCTTCATCTTCCATCGATGCCCTCTCAAGTTCAGTTGTATCAACCGCCGCCGACTCCAGGATAGCTAGTACCAGAAATTGATTATCACCGTCGAATTCTTGAGTAAAACTTATAGTTGCCAGACGTGAGAATGGATCGGCTATGTTACTGTCACCTTTACGATAACACACTCTGAAGGTGAAAAACTGTAGCCGTAAGACCCATCTTTCTATACGTGCGCATGGTCGAGAAGTTGGTGAAAATATGGCCTCCAACGGTTTGTGGTCCGTCTCCAGTTCGAACTTCCTACCCACTAGATATATGGAGAACCGTTAGACTGCCCAAACGAGCGCAAGAGCTTCTTTTTCGGTTTGGCAGTACCGTTTTTCAGTTGAGGTTAAGCTTTTGCTAGCGGGAATCAGGACCATCCCGAGTATCGCCAAACTGTACTAATACAGCTCCAAGTCCTACAGGCGATGCATCCGCGATCACCCGAGTGCGAAGTGAATTGTCAAAATATTTCAATGTATGTATACCAGATACCATCTCTTTTAGCTTCCGAAATGCGTCCTCGTGTTCCGATTGCCACTTGAAAGGAACTCCTTTATGAGTTAGTTCCCTCAATTATGTACAAACTGTAGCAAGATCTGGAAGGAATCTGCCTACATATGTTACAAGCCCCAAAAAACTTCTTAATTCCTCTGAAGACTGGGGGGCTCGAAACGTTTTAAGAGTGGCTACTTTATCTTCAGCCGGTCTGATACCATCAGCGGATAAATGGTGCCCGAGGAATTCCACTTCTCGGACCCGGAAGACGCACTTCTTATGATTCAGAAGTATATTCCTGCTTTTGAGTGTTTCCATCACCTCCTCCAAAGCACGGTCGTGTTCTTTCTCGGTCTTCCCGAAGATCAAAACATCGGCTATATAATTGACAACGTTATCACAATTGGAAAGAATCTGTTCCAGAACTTTCTGGAACATTTCCGGAGCACAAGAGATACCAAACATCAACCGTTTATATTGAAACATTCCTTTGTGCGTGATGAAAGTCGTAATGTGACGTGAAGCCTCGTCCAACTCTAGTTGGTGAAATGCATCCTTAATATCCAGTCTGCTAAAAACATGAGCGTTCTTTAGCAAGGGAAGGAAATCGTCAAAGGTTGGCATCAAGCGAGCTTCCCGTTTGATGGCCAAATTTGCTCGTCTCATATCCACACATAAGCGCAAATCACCGTCATCTTTCACAATGACAACTAACGGAGAGACCCACTGGCTGAAGTCGTGTACAGGTTCTATTATGTCTGCCGTCAACAAAGACTCCAACTTCTCCTCTATTTTGTCCAACAGAGCCAAAGGTGGACGTCGAGCATGCTGAGTTACTGGGGTGACACTGTCATCGATGGGAATGTTCAGCTTGATGCCTTTCATTTTTGGAAAGGGACGCTTCTGGTCCGATCGTAAACGGTACATTTCTGGAGCGTGCATGCTTGGAAGCCCTAGTGTCAGAACACCAAGTTCCTTAGCTGTGGTCCTCCCAAGGAGTGGCTGCGTACCTCCTGCTATCACGTAAAAGGTGGCATCTGCTGTAACACATTGATCGCTTTCATTGCTTATGATCTTACTCTCGAAAACTTCCTGAACAACCAAAGGCCTTGAACTCCTACCATAAGCCCTAAATGTTTGATTGGAATACGACCGTAGATTATTGACTTTTACTCCCTGAGTTTTCATCTTTTCCCAGGTTATATCATCTAAGATGTTTTTCTGGCTACCAGAATCGATCAAAACCTGAACCAACACTCCTCCAATAGCAATCCACAAAAATTCATCTCCCTCTCCAATAATGAAAATAAAACTGCTAATACCTACTACCTTTCTCTTCCACCTTTTCGATTGCTCTGACATGTTGGAACCTGGGATATTTACGCTTCCGATCTTCCTTCTCTTCACGTTTACGCTTCTGGGAAAAATTCGATGAATGACAGCGGACAGCGAAGTGGCCCACCCTTCCACACCGGTCGCAGGACTTTGTTCTAGCTGGACAATTAGTATCGTTCGCGTAGTGGCCCTTTCGACCACATCTGGAACACCCTCCGGTCCTCGCTTCGGTCTGACCTAAATGACCGAAAAATTAAAGGTGATACATCAGATAACTAAAAACAAATAAACAAACAAAAACACCCTTCAGTACCTTTTACTGAATTCTGAATTTTGTTTACCACCCCCGACGTTGATGGTTGGTTCGTGGTAGTCATCTGATTATCCTGAAATTTAATCGCTCCGTAGAAGTAGACCGTTTTGGTGACATCGTCCAGCACCAAATTCTCTCTTTGTAACAACTTCTCACGCAGCTCAGGAGGCGCCAATTGTATGACTTTATCTGTCACACTGATTTCCTGAGCTTCTTGCTTACTACGCCCGAAGTTACACTTGCCAATTCCGTCGCTCGCAACACGAACTTATCGAGAGATTCATTTTTTTTTTTTTTTTTTTTTTACTCTTTATTTGTTCCAAATTCAAAATAAATTACATTTCATTTTTAACCTAGGTGCTCCAGTTACTACAGTAACTTACCAGCCTTAATTGTTATGATATATATCTAAGTGTTTTTACATTGTTCCTGTCTTGGCAATTCAGTATTTTAAACAGGTTTTTTAAACCTGCATGTCAGTATAACAATTGATATCTTAAAACTAAAAACTAAAACTAAATCTTATCTAAGTATAAAGGGAATTAATCGTTGCAATTGAGGATTGCAACGATTTTTGCCTGAAATTATTAATTATTTTGTTGGACATTTGTGCTAAAGTCTCAACATTCGAAATTCTATGTACTTCGGTTGTACTGTACCAGGGAGGCAACTTCAAAATCATTTTCAGAATTTTGTTCTGAATCCTTTGAAGTGCTTTTTTCCTGGTAGTGCAACAACTAGACCATATTGGCACAGCGTAAAGCATGGCCGGTCTAAAAACTTGTTTAAATATTAGAAGTTTATTCGTCAGGCAAAGTTTGGATTTCCTGTTAATAAGAGGATACAAACATTTTATATATTTGTTACATTTGGCTTGAATGCCCTCAATGTGATCTTTAAAAGTTAATTTATGGTCAAGTATTAATCCAAGATATTTCACTTGGTTTGACCAGGAAATTGGAACTCCGTTCATAGTGACTATGTGACTACTAATAGGTTTCAAAAAGGAAGCCCTGGGCTTATGTGGAAATATTATAAGTTGAGTTTTGGAAGCGTTGAGAGAAATCTTCCATTTTTGTAAATAAGAAGAGAAAATATCTAAACTTTTCTGCAGTCTGCTGCAAATAACACGAAGACTTCTTCCTTTAGCGGAAATGCCTGTGTCATCAGCGAACAAAGATTTGTGGCAACCCTGAGGCAAATCAGGGAGGTCCGAAGTGAAAATGTTATACAATATAGGCCCAAGAATGCTACCCTGAGGAACTCCTGCTCTAACAGGTAGTCGATTAGATTTGGAATTTTGATAATTTTCCTACAGAGTTCCGTCAGTTAAATAATTTTGAACTAATTTCATAATATAAAGTGGAAAATTAAACTTTTTCAATTTAGCAATCAAACCTTCATGCCAAACACTGTCGAATGATTTTTCTATGTCTAGAAGAGCAACCAGCTGAGTGGCCTTCAGATTTGTTTGAACGAATTAAATTGGAAACTCTTAAGAGTTGATGAGTAGTTGAATGCCCATGGCGAAATCCAAACTGCTCATCTGCAAAAATTGAGTTCGTATTGATGTGAAGCATCATTCTATTCAAAATTATCTTTTCAAAAAGTTTACTTATTGAAGAAAGCAAACTTATTGGACGGTAGCTAGAAGCTTCAGCTGGATTTTTATCCGTCTTCAAAATTGGAACAACTTTTGCATTTTTCCATTTATCAGGAAAGTATGCCAAATGGAAACATCTGTTAAATAATTTTACCAGGAAAGACAAGGTACTCTCTGGGAGTTTTTTGATGAGGATATAGAAAATTCCATCATCACCTGGAGCTTTCATATTTTGAAATTTTTTAGTTATAGACCTTACTTCGTCCAAATCAGTCCCCCAGGAATCATCAAAAATATTTTCCTGAGAGAAAATATTCCGAAAATCCCGAGCAACCTGATTCTCAATAGGACTAGTAAGACCCAAACTGAAATTATGGGAACTCTCGAATTGCTTAGCAAGTTTCTGAGCTTTTTCCAAATTTGTGATCAAAATTTTACCACCTTCTTTAAGCGCTGGAATTGGCTTTTGAGGTTTTTTCAAAATTTTTGTGAGTTTCCAAAAGGGTTTGGAACTCGGGTCTAATTTAGAAACATTATTTTCAAAAGTTTTGTTCCTCAGGGCAGAGAATCGCTTTTTAATTTGTTTTTGCAAATCCCGCCAGATAACTTTCATGGCAGGATCGCGTGTTCTTTGAAATTGTCTCCTACGGACATTTTTAAGACGGATCAAGAGCTGAAGATCATCGTCTATTATAATTGAATCGAATTTAACCTCGCATTTTGGTACTGAGGCAGCTCTTGCTTCAACTATAGAAGTAGTCAGAGATTCAAGAGCATAATTAATTTCATCTTTGGTTTGCAAAGGAATGTTTGGATCGAAGTTATATTCCATAAATGTTCGATATTGCTCCCAATCAGCCCTATGGTAATTGAAAGTAGAGCTGTTGGGATTACAAATTATTTCTTGGGATATTTCAAAAGTTACTGGAAGGTGATCAGAACCGAAGTCAGCATGGGTAACCAATTGGCTACAAAGTTGACATGAATCAGTTAAGACCAAATCAATAGTTGAGGGATTTCTTGCAGAAGAAAAGCATGTTGGGCTGTTTGGATATTGAATAGTGTAATAACCTGCAGAACAATCATCAAACAGAATATTACCATTGGAATTGCTTTGAGCATTGTTCCATGAGCGGTGTTTTGCATTAAAATCACCAATAATGAAGAATTTAGACCTATGACGGGTAAGTTTCTGGAGGTCACCCTTGAGAAAATTCTTTTGCTGGCCTACGCATTGGAATGGCAAATAGGCAGCTATAAACGTAAGTTGTCCAAATTTTGTTTCAACAGAAACTCCCAAAGTTTCAAAAACTTTGGTTTCAAATGAAGAAAGAATTTTATGCTTGATTCGTCTATGAATAATGATGGCAACGCCACCACAGGGTCCATCAAGACGATCATTTCTATAAATCAAGTAATTTGCGTCCTTCTTAACCTTATGGTCAGGTTTAAGGAACGTTTCAGTTATAACGGCAATATGCACGTTATGAACTCTTAAAAAATTAAATAGCTCGTCTTCATTATCTTTAAGAGATCGAGCATTCCAATTTAAAATGTTTAATGCTTTAAAATCCATTACTGAATTTTAAAGTCATGACAATATTATTAGCAAATTTTACTCCAGTTTGAATAGCATCAAACATGGAGTTAGATTTAAGCATATCAGAAATCATGTCAATTAATGAATTCTGTAAAAATTCCATTTTAGGGGCAGTAATGCTTCCTAAGTCAAAATTGTCAAAATTTCCGTTAGAACGTTGGTTAGTATTTTGATTTCTACCCGCTGCAATAGCAGCATAGGTAGCTCCATTAACTCGCTGAACATTGTTAGCAGCGAGGGGAGTAGGCACAGATGAAACATTTGAAGCAGGGGTGATATTTGTACCTACGGGTACGAATGTAGAATTTGTTCCTCGCTGACCGTTGTTAACAGCAGAGGAATTTGTACCTGGTCGGAAACGTGGAGCGTTTCCTACCTGTCGGTTAGAACGAGATTGTAGGATCGCTTTGCGAGTCTTACATTCCCAAAAATTGGATTTGTGGTTTTCACCACAATTTGAACATTTAAATTTCTTAGGATCTTCCTTCACAGGACAGTCGTCCTTTGCGTGAGAGGAATCACCACAATTCATGCATTTAGCTGGCATGTAGCAATTTTTAGTTCCGTGACCCCATCCCTGGCACTTACGGCACTGAGTGAGGTTTTGGAAATTTCCTCCAGTCTTCCTGAAGTGTTCCCACTTCACTCGGACATGGAGCATAAGGCTAGCTTTTTCTAAGGCCTTAAGGTTGTTTAGTTCACTAGACTTGAAGTGAACTAAATAAAAATCATTAGAAATCCCGTTGCGCGAATCGCCAGGACGGGATTTCATTTTCATTTTGATTACTTGGAGTGGCACAACTCCAAGTAATTTTGCCAGTTCATCTTTGATCTGATCCAGGGATTCACCACTGGGCAGTCCTTTCATGACAACCTTGAACACACGTTCAGTTTTGGTGTCGTAAGTAAAAAATTTGTGCTTCTTCTCAGTAAGATACTTGAGAAGACATTTAAATCCGTCCAAGGTTTCAGCCAATACACGGCATTCACCCCGACGTCCAATTTGTAGTGAAAACTTAACTTTCACGAAATTCAAAAGTTCCATGCGAAGGGCATGGAAATCGGTAGTGGTTATCACAATAGGGGGAATCTTTTCCTTCTTGGCATTAAGCCGGGAAAGTTTACTAGAATTTTTCTTGGATGATGGATCATTCTCATCATCCGTGAGCAAATCAAATTGATTACTCAAATTAATTTCTTCAGAAGGGGGGTCAAGAGTTTGCCCCTTTCTTTTGCGTTTAGGCGCCATGGCGGCAGTAAATGTTTTATCCAAATCGACTTCCGAGCAGATTACTATAAGAATCTGAAGGATCGAAGAGGAATTTTCCAAATCGTTATCCAAGAAGGATTACCTCGGGTAGGGTCCAAACAAGGATCGAAGAGGAATAAGAGGAGTTGAACAAAGTAGAAAATTTTTACAGGTTGAGCACTGAAAAGTGCGATTATGCGATTATCCAAATCGAATTCCAAGCAGATTACTATAAGAATCTGAAGAATCGAAGAGGAATTTTCCAAATCGATATCCAAGAAGGATTACCTCGGGTAGGGTCCAAACAAGGATCGAAGAGGAATAAGAGGAGTTGAACAAGGTAGAAAATTTTTACAGGTTGAGCACTGAAAAGTGCTGTTTAAATTTGTTGTAGCTTTAGGTAGTAGTAACACTTCCTTAAGCAAAAAGCAAATAGATCCGCACGGCAAGAGAGCACGATGCGGACTGATCGAGAGATTCATCTTTTTCCTTCGGGGTTAACGACCAAAACAGAAATCTTTGGTAGGTATGCTTCGTGTTGTTTTGGGACAAAATATTCGTCCAGCTTAGTCATGGCCACTCTCAATAGATCAATATCATGCCGCTTATCCACATCAGCACCAGGGAGACTGCTGAACACATCTTGAACGTCTGGTCCAGCGCGAGCCAGGAAAATATTCTTGAGTCGTGTTTTGTTTGTCACCCCATTTGCCAACGCAAGGTACTCAAATTGCCTTTTGTAGCGCAGCCATTCATCCCAAACCTCATTGGGAGAAATGAGCTTGAATTTGAATGGAGCAATGTCAAATTTGTCCATTCCTACACTGAAATTGGTAAAAGTTTCTCATTTTTCACTATCCCTACAGAATCAAGTTTTATTACCTTCCACTCGCTGGATAGAACACTAGTTGGGACACCTCCCAGTGTCTGTGGATTACTTGAAATCGATTGGATTTACTTCCTGAAAATATATATATAATTATCCAATTATTGGTTGTTCGTAATTACATCGACATTTATTTTTTTTATTTGCAACATAGACCTAGTTTATCTTGGCCTTCAAAATATCTATCTTGCGAGCTGCAACATCAACGCCGTTGCCGACACGTCAAAACACAAAACCGTCAGCACTATGCGTTGATGAGACACCTCTGGATTTGTCAGTTCCAAGGATTAGTGTTGAATCAGACATGCCTATTGATCTTGCGATATCCCAAAAACCCAACTCATTGAATTTATCTTATCGACCTATGGACTTGCGCGTCGCAAAACATTCGGATAACATCAACAATGCCTGTGATGTTGATGACATTTACGAGGTGGAAGAAGAAGAAGATGTCGAAGGAGACCCTACTCTACTGAACGAGTTTTCAATTTACGAATGTTTTGAAGAATACCGCAACATGCATACCGATGATGAGGAGTTTCCCGATTCAGACGATGAGTATGATTTTCAACCGAGACGCCGAAGCGGAAAACCAAAATCTAAAATTACCGTTGGACATGGTCTGATTTTCATGGAATGAATCTCGGAATGAATATTATAATGTGTGATAATATTGTTATTTTTTTCTAAATTACAGATGAACTTGGGCAAAATGGGACAGGACTGGAAGAAAAAGAGAATGAAACAAATAATACAACCCACAATAATTTTGAAAAAGAGCTACATGAGGCGAAAGTGAAAAAAGTGTCGTTGAGGAAGGTAAACAAACTGCTTAGGCAGAAAGGGATGGCATACACTAGGCCTGATGGAACCGTAGTCCCCGCACGTTCTGTTAAGAAAGGATGCGATTGCAAAATGAAATGTGCCGAAAAATACCCTGACACTGTCCGAAAACAACTGCTTCAAAATATTTTGGATCTCAACTTGTCCGGACAAAACCAATTTATTGCTAACCATATGATTATTACTAAAACAGCTCGTCCACACACACTTAGATTTTTTTGCCGAGATGGGCACCACCGAGCAGCTCGGCATTTTATTTTGCTGCATTTCAGTGAAAAACTTGCCGAGATTCAGCTAACAAACGGGAATTTTGCTGAGATCTCAGCTAACAAACATATTTTTTGCTGAATTTCCAGCAAAATAAAATGCCGAGCTGCTCGGTGGTGCCCATCTCGGCAAAAAAATCTAAGTGTGCAGGTATCTAATAAGAGTATTTTATGGATTTTGATTCTGGCACTCTAGTGTAACCAGTTCCAACTTACTCAATATGAGTTATTAAGTGTACCACAGACAAACAGACGTAGCTATTTCTCCGTAATCATCGTACACGCATTTAACGTTCATCACTTTGACGTTTTTATACATTTTATCAAACTTGTATGCAGCATTGATTGACACTTGGCAAGCAAACTTATTTCCGCGAATACCTCGCAAGATGTCGCTTATGAGTTCCACGACGATATGTTTTAAGGAATATTTATTTAAAGAGTTACGTCTGTTTGTCTGTAGCTGTACCTCTCTGATTCAAACAATATGATATGTCGTTAATTAAAACTAGCCAGTTACTACTTTTCTACCTTATTTCATCCTCATTTTTCACAACCAATTCACGCGTACCTTCTATTATCATTACATAATAAGTGTTGTTTTCCTCTTCCAGGTTGTCAACTCCAGGAGTACTTTTTCCAGGTCCTACAGGCTTCCAGGGGTGAATGGTATGGTGAAGGTTTGTAAGGTCATGTTCATAACATCGTTTGACATCACGGATCGGAAGCTGAGAAATCTGGCTGCGAAAAAAATGGCTGGACATGGCGTTGCAGAAGATGATCAGCGGGCATTCAATTCCACAAATAAAAAAGTCAGCCAAGATCACATCGAATACATACAAAAACATATTGATAGCTTTCCTGCTTACTCCAGCCACTACTCTCGTGAGGGTTCCGAAAAGCGGTATCTGTCGGGTGATCTCAACATTAAGGTTATGTATGAGTTGTACCAAGAAAAATGCAGCAGGGACAATTCGTGGATACCCGTACATTACGATACCTATCGGATCATTTTCAAAGAGAAGAACTTGTCATTCAGAAAGCCCAAAGTGGATGTGTGTGGGGAGTGTGAAAAATACAGGATTGCTTTCAAAGAAGAACTGGACAGCCCTACATAGATCGCCTTGACAGCTGCTCACGAGATGCATCAACAAGCAGCGCAGCGCGTATACAAGGAAAAGCGCAGAGATAGGAAGCAGACCAAAGAGGATTCAAGATATCGAACCGTATCTTTTGACTTGCAGAAGCAATTACCAATACCGCACCTTCGCTGTGGACAGGCTTTCTATGCGAGACAATTGTATACGTACAATTTAACTTTCTTTTCATCCTATCTCGACAAAAATACAGCTACCTGCATGTTGTGGGATGAAAGAAAAGCCAAAAGAGGATCTCAGGAAGTGGCTTCCTGCCTTCTTAGAGATCTTAAAAAGATGCCTCTTACTATTCGCCACGTGACGTATTACAGCGACCGCTGCGTAGGTCAGAACCTCAATAAGACCGTAGTGTTTACGTTTGCCTACTATATCGAGCTTGCTGCAAGAGATGGCAGAGAACTTATAATCGAACATAAGTTTATGCGCACTGGCCATTCGCATATGGAGGTAGACACTGTGCATTCTGCCATCGAAAAAGCGAAGAAAAAAACTACAATCGATACTGAAACACCGCACGACTGGGTAGTGCTCATCTCTGCCATAAGAAGATCTGTCCCATTTGACGTAGATGAGATGGAGCAACGCAATTTCTGTGCCTTAAAGGATTTGTCGGTCCGATATTGCACTCCTAAAAAGAATGAAACTGGGGAATCAATTAAGATTACCGACATCATGGTCTTCCGCTACTCTACCAATAGTCCTGGAACTGTTCTTTACAAGCACGATGTGGGGGATGCTGAATTCAAGCACTTGAACATCATCTTCGGCGTAGAGCTTGAACAAATCAAACTTAACACTATAGAAGATCAGACGCCAAATTGGCAGATCTCAAATCATTGCTACCATTCGTTAAAAACAAGGAATTTTATCAAACCTTTCTCAAGTCTCTTGTTCCATCGAAACGTGGTCGAAAACCCAAATCAAATCAAGTGGATGATTTCGAAGGTGACATGGATCCGCCAGAAAGAGATTAAGAAAAAATAAGTCATAATGAAAGCGATATGTCAAAGGAAAATGCTGAGAAAATAAAATAATGCTCATTAACTGTACCAACATAATTTTACTAAACGCAACAATCTGTTGATTCCGAAACCTGAATGTATACTGTTTTATTGCTGATTGCATTTGAAACTAGACTACCCCAAAAATACAAAAAAAGCACGTTTCCGTCATATCGTTTTGGTGTCTTCTAAACACTTATTGCTTGCATCAAAAGGAATAAGTGCATCGAAGAAATCAATAAGATTAGACGGAAATGCGCAATTTTGTTACATGTTTAAATTTTATTTGACCAATTTTTATTTGTTGCAATATTTCTTGTTCAGTTTGGAATGAAATGCACAATAATTGGTCGGCTAAAGATATGCGATTACACTCTGTTCATCTAGATTTACTCTGTTCTTTATTTCATCTGTTTGTCTGTGATTGGAGTGTTTGCTGACAGATTTTATTGTGTCCAGCAGGAATTGGAAGTGCAGTCTGTGTTGCCTTGTATCTTTTTTAGATAACAAACTATTGATTGCAGCATCGAATAAGATAATCCGACAGTCGTCGAAGTAACCGGATGTTGACCGAAATTTTTGCCGGCGAATTCGACCAGGATTGAATTGCACTTGAGTGGTTGATGATGATGATGGTCCCACTGCTTACCCCTACACAGGATTGAGCTGGACGATTTCTCTTTAAGATAATTATATACAACTTTTTAACCAGATTAGCAAGCAAAAACGAACTGATTACAATTACAGGTATAAATTCCCTCAACACTTCTCAGTTACTTCACAGTGATATAAATGTGAAAAAGCTTAGGCGTTCACCACTTTGTTCACCTTTTTGTCTACCGTTTTCAATGTTTTTAGGCCACACAAATTTCTAAAACCTAACGACGTAACTGATTTTAGAAATTATAAACAGTCTTATCTGGCTTGACGTATCACACAACATAAATGTCAAAACGACGAATCTGAGGGAGCGTAAGTAATAGTTGCGAAAGCAAAAGGGCGTATGAAGATTATTTCTCAGTAACAGTATGATACACGCAACAAACGTGTAAAATTTTTACGCTGCATTATAGCGCGTCAAAATAATGTTTCGCATGTGGAAACGGTATTGGAATTCAACCAATATTTTTAAAATGAGATTTAAACATTACCGCATGAAACATCAAACCCGTTTTTCTCAGTTCGTGTCAAAAGTCACTTACGTCCATTTGAAAAAGTACTCGAGAATTGTTGCAACCATATGACAGTTTGATGGTTTGATATTGAATGCTTTTAAACGTCAGTTAAATAAAATTGAAATTTATGCTGTAAAATCCACCTTTTTGTAATGAGAAACTTGTCAAAGCAATAATTGGGGTCCTAAAATGCTATCAAGATGTCTTTTGATTATCTATAACCAACAATTTTCTACGTGACAACTAAAAGCAGAACGCATAATGATCGATTTCACCCCGGTGATCAATTTGCAATATCTCAAACATCAAAATCGCGTCAAAACAGAATCGAGAGTGTATTTCATTTGTCGTTTGACTAAAAAACAATGTTCAGCAGAAATTTCATATTAAAATAGCTATCGAACTGTCGTTCAAGGCAATATAGAAAAAGTATGGAAGGTAACGAACAGAAAGTTTGGATTTTACATAGTAATTCCCATACAAACTCAAATGGTTTGTGCACAGTCAGCTTTTAGCCAAACAAGCTTTTGGGAGGCTAATTTGAAACGGTTTAGGGACTGTAGAGTGAAAATGTAAATTTTGCATCAGTCGAATGTTTCCACGGTTCATTCAAGTTTTTATTAACGTAAAGGGTGATACGGTCAAAATTTGGTCAATATCAACTTGACGTATTTCTTTCAATTTTGCATTTAAAAAACCTGAACACCCCTCATTTTGAAGGTGTGTGTGTGTAGAATGTTGCTCCTATTTTGATTTTGGAATTCACTCTTCAGTTGTCAAAATGCCGTCCAAGCAAGAAGAGCAGCGTATCAAAATTTTGCTCACGCATCGCGAAAATCCGAGCTACTCGCACGCAAAGTTGGCAAAATCGCTAAAAGTTGCCAAATCATTCGTTACAAATGTAATTAAAGTGTTTGGGGAACGTTTGTCGACAGCCAGGAAGTCTGGATCGGGGGGAAATCGAAAACCGGAAGCCGCTGAGACGACAAAGAGAGTTGCCGGTAGTTTCAAGCGAAACCCTAACCTCTCTCTCCGAGATGCCGCAAATAAGCTGGGTGTATCGTCTACAACCGTGCATCGAGCCAAAAAACGAGCCGGACTATCGACTTACAAGAAGGTAGTGACTCCAAATCGCGATGATAAACAAAATACGACGGCCAAAGCGCGATCCCGGAGGCTGTACACGACGATGCTGACGAAGTTTGACTGCGTGGTAATGGACGACGAAACCTACGTCAAAGCCGACTACAAGCAGCTTCCGGGACAGGAGTTTTATACGGCAAAAGGAAGGGGAAAGGTAGCAGATGTTTTCAAGCACATGAAACTGTCAAAGTTCGCAAAGAAATATCTGGTTTGGCAAGCCATCTATACCTGTGGCTTGAAAAGCAGCATTTTCATAGCTTCCGGGACTGTCAACCAAGAAATTTACGTGAAAGAGTGTTTGAATAAACGTCTGCTGCCTTTCCTGAAGAAACACGGTTGTTCCGTACTGTTTTGGCCGGATTTGGCATCTTGCCATTACGGTAAAAAGGCCATGGAGTGGTACGTCGCCAACAACGTGCAGGTGGTTCCCAAGGACAAGAACCCTCCCAA